ATAAGGTGTTCAAATAATTATTCACTTAAGAAATCAGAAAAATTATTAAAGAAGTAAACAGAATGAGAAATGCACACCTATGACCTATGGATCTCGCACGCGAACGCTTAACATCTAGAACACTGAGCCAGCATCCAATAGTGTTAATGTATAACTTCAGCATATGCTTACTAGTGACTGGTTTCAAGTGGTATTTCCTGGAGTCCTAGTGAGAAGCAGTGACCAATGGAGTTCAACCGGGTCTGGTTTGAGATAGTAACTCACTGAAGACAATGGTGGACGGTGGCGCAATTTCGTAGATTAGTTGAACCTTGTAAGGCGGGATCGTTGATCGCACTTCTAAGTTGTCCTTCTATAGGACAGAATGGCTATCGAATGCTTCCAGGTTTTCCATGTTGGTCTAGATTCAATTGACTCATTATCCCAACTATTGGAATTATCAGAATTGTTTAATTGCCGTTATCAAACCCTACATTATAGGGAGGCAAGTTGAAATAGTTTCGATCGTTCAATGGTTGATAACTGTTGCTTTTCTATTTAATTGAAGCATGATATTGATTTTTCGATCATTTGCACTAAACTCTGATTACTATTGTTTCCTTCTTGTCAAGTTGCTGATTGTTTTAAGCATTTAAACTTCTATAGTTTAGGTCAGGAAGTTTGTTAGGTGATCCACTTCTGAAAACCAAGAGGCGATAGAGAGCTATTTCGTTCTAGCATGGGACTGCTTAGCAGTGCGCATCTACGGATTTGTCAAAGAGGATTTGGGACCAAGACTTTCAGTTTCCTCATGAACGTGTAATCTTTAGACCTATGAGGTAGCATTTGAACTCTAGGTATTGTATCTTGAAGTCAGTTACTAGTGGGAATATGATGATTACTAGCATGGAGAGATTGGTGGACTTTGTAGCATTTCCTTACCTTAAATCATGGACTGATTTTATTTAAACTTCTTTTTAAGTAGTCATAGTTACTTTTATAAGTAATAGTGTAGAAGATTGGTCAGTTTGTAGTCTATATAACAGGTTGGTTGTAGCTAGACAACCATGAAGAACTATGATCCATCGTTTCATCCTATTATGGAACTTTTTAACAGCTCGCATTCTGCAACGTTATCAGGGATCGAGCACTAAACCTTTTAATCTCATAGGGTCTGTTGTCTGTCGAGCTACTAAGATGATGTTCTTTAATTAACTCTCATGGATTCTATTAAATTTTAGATATGTATTATTAATGACAGTTAATTATTGACATTTCAAATGACGGAATGATCAAAGTGCGATATTTTGATCTTTAGGTCATTGAAACATTGATTTATGAAATCTTGTATACAAAAATTTGTAAAGTATTAAACTATAATGAAATCGCTATCTAATTTCTTTTTGATTTGTGGTCTTTCCTCTTTTTTAAAAAAAATAAAATTTATGTGTATATTACATAATATTACATTTCAAAATCCTATGACTAACAAATTACATATACCAATAGACCATTAACACATATTTCGTAATAGTTGAATTCATGAGTTGATATAAGCTAGACCACCATGGAAAACCCGGAAGTACTGGACGACCGTTTCGTCCTAGTATGGGAATCCTGAACAGTGCGCATCCATGATCCCACAGCAAAGAAACTCTCACCCAGGACCTTCGATCTCACACGTGAACACAACTTCTTGACCACTGAGCCGGCATCCAACGGTTTTGATGTCTAACTTCATCCAACACATTATATTGAGTGACAGTCCATCATTGTCTTCAGTGAGTAACTACCTCACAAATCATTTTTATATCAATCAAATATTAAGTTGAAGTAACCATTTTACTTAAGCTAACATACACTTGTTTTTTGAATGTAAAGTCTTTTAATTAAGAATATAACACTATTGTAGTTTCATGAAGTTGTTAGCTGAGTATTTTATAACAGCCTTGGAATGTAGTCATTTTACTGACTAGTGACTGAAAAAAAACGATCCAAATATTTTAACTTAAAGTCGGTACTTTTAAACCTACATGATTTTAGCTGTCAACATTTCTTACTATGCTTATCAATTGAATCTGTAAAGACATTTGAAGATTTAAGTTTCCAACCTGATTAAATGAAACATTTAACCATTTTATATAAATCACTTTCTGAATTTTAATTTCATTGAGCTTTGTCCAATTTTAAACAAAACGATCTGATGTGACAAAGTCAAAATTATTCTTTTTCTTATGTTGGTCGTGTGAAATAAACAAGCCTAGGTAATCTGTAGACTGTTGTCTGAGATTCTATTCTTTTTTTTTTCAGTACTTTTGCACTTACTTAAGTGTTTGAGCAATATTAGATAATAGAATATTTGCTCATTCATAAGTTCCATGGAGAAGTAACTGCTTCAAGGTTTAACTGATAAGATTTTTTTTCAAAGTCATTAAGTTGTATATGAAAAGTAATTGGAAATTCCTATTTCTTATCCTGTCAATTCAGTACTTTAGTCCACCATTTTGAGAAACGTTTTGTTATTTTCGTCTTATTACTCATGAGTAGCTAAACGTTTTATTAAACAAAATGACATGGCTAGTGTTCAGTTAAAGTAGAACTATATTCGAAAGATAATCAATAACTGTCCTTATAAAGTTCTTTCTTGGTTCACTTTACTGCTTAATTAATCATGTGTCATTTGTATGAGACACTAAAGCAGCTCAAAAATGACGAAACCATTGATGCAATGGCTACCGTAATATGTTTACATGATTTACATGATTCACTTGAAAGGTGAATGCTTATAAGCCATAGGATTCGTAAATAATCACCCGATATTTGACTGATAGCCCTATTTCGTGTGTGAGGTCTTGTGATACTCAAGTTAGGGTTTGGGCCTAAAACCTCCTGATTGAAAGTCGAACACTTATGATATTAATCCAGCATTCTGGAAACCGTTCGCATCAATTAGCAGTATTATTTAAATCGCTGATCGATCAATGTTAAACAACCACTGGAAACTTAGAATCAGGGGATGGCTATTTCGTCTCAGCATGGGATTCTTCAAAGGTGAGTGTCCACAACCCCTTATGCAGAAATCGAACCCAATACCGTCGGTTTCCTTCATGAACGTCCAACCTCTGGAGCACTGAGTTGGCATCCAATGATGTTCGAGTGCAACGTTAATCGGTCCACGATAGTGCACGACTATCTCCTAATGTATTTGGTGGGAGCATTCCTCACATGCGATACAGATTAGCTCAACTGGTAGCGTGCTATCTTGGAGTGACTGAATTTATAATAGAAACAATTAAATGCCCCCTCAGTAGTTTGGAGTTTAAACGCTTACATACAAGGCTGAAAGTCATGGGTTCGGTTACCGTTTGCGGAGTCGTAGATGTGCACCTCTAAACGGTCTTACAATACGATGGGACATCAGTCCAGTCCTTCTAGGTTTTCAATAGCGGTTTGACATTGATCGTTTTGTGGTTTCAACTCAATTTAACAATCTCCACAGACAAATTTTGTATTTGTCTATACAGAACAACTTTTAAATGGACAGGTTATCAAACAGAATAGTTTATTGTTGTAATCATAAGTGAAAGATCCATATCATAAAAATTATTATTACTATTATTATCGCTACCATATCTGAAAACTTTTGAATGTTAATTGACTGAAGAAGTTATATGGAACAACTTTACGCAATACAAGTAAGAAGACTCAAATTTAAAAAGTATCGCGGAATTTTCAAAATTAGTAAACTGGCCTTTCCTTCACTAACATTGTCGACAAATGTAGTCGTTATCCACCTCTGATACCGCATTTTGTTTGGTAAGGGAGATTTCAGTCTCATTAGAGCTACATGATTTAATGTTATGTCTGTTGAAATTTATCAGTAGTGAGTATACAATTACAAAGACTCAAACTCTTGTCACATACATATACCATTTGACATAGTAGTATCAAGCTTTTTGATTAACATAAATTCATATTTTCACCTACATCAAGGGCATATATAAACCATGGTGATAATAGCTAAAAAGTAAGAGGCTTACATATAAGGTTTTTTAAACGTATATTTCTAATCATCTAATGAAACGATTTTTTTAATCGCTTATTCATTTATCTGGTTGTTTTCGTCAGTAACTTAATGAAGCTCATAAGCAGAGTGAAAACAAAATTGAAGGTCTTAATCAAGCTGACTACTACTTTACCACTTCACAAAACAACTGTGACTATGTTGGAATTAATTGTATAGTAGGTTTTAATTTAATAGAAGCATAAATGTCATCTAATCAACTTCCTGTTCAGTGATCATGACTGTACTCTATTAAAAAATTATTTAGTTATCATTATAATTCTCTTTATGCAATTATATATCATTCAAAAGATTTAATGGGTCTGCATTGATAGGGTGATTAAAATCACTGTAATAAGGAATATTTGCTCTAATACTCTGAAAACTACTTACGATGATGTGTAAACGTAAAATTTAGCTATCAGTCTTGAAGAATAGGTCAAAATGTTATAATAGAATGGATGGAGTGTGGTTAGTAATCGAATCCAGGACACACGTTTAGTTCTGTTTGAGTCTCGTCGGCTACATATACGTCCATCCTAGAGTTGATGTTCACTTCGGAACTCAAACCCAGTAACAAATGGTGCTGAGTCCAAATCCCGGAATAAACATTGACACTTCTTTGCAGGTACATCTAGCTGACGAGTCTCAAATAGAACGAAACACGTGTCGTTCATTCCACTGTTAGTCACATTACATCTATTCTATATTAACTTGTGTTATAGTGGCTATATCGAAGTAATCCTCAATGAATGCCCATATATAAACCAAGACTGATCAGATATTAGTCAAATTATCAACAACCAGGTTATTCAAAGCATTTTAACTTGAACTAAGAAGTTGTTAATTTGTGATTATATTTCATTTCTTTTGAAAATTTAGTTGCATATACTCAACAATTCAATCATTATTAATTTAATTTATGTATATTCTTTTTTTTTGATTTTCTGTTTTACAGCTATACCCTACAATGTGTTTTGCCAATTAATAATTTCACAGAGAAAATCTACGTATTTCTATGGTTTTGGTTTGCAATACTTGGTTTATTAACTACATTGAATACATTACAATGGGCATTAAATACAATATTACCATCACGTCGTGTACGATATATTAAACAATATTTAAAAGCATTAAGACTTATATCTAGTACAGAAGAACGTGATTGTGCACGTTTTGTAAATAATAATTTAGGCGCTGATGGTGTATTTATACTTCATGTTGTTTCAAAAATAGCTAGTGATCTTATTGCATTAGATGTAACAGCAACATTATGGAAAAATTATCGACAAGCTAAAATTACAGGAACAGAAGAAGATGTTAATCGATTACTTGAAACAGTGAATCGTGGTTCTTCTGTTGTCTGACCATAATGTGGACGTCGATTTATTGAATTAATATCATAAACATCAATTTGAAAAAAATCAATGAATCAATATTATCATTATTGAGGAAAAAAACAAACAAAAGTGAACATATACATGAACACACGTACATACATATGTTTATCAAAAAACACACAAAAACAATTCAAGTTTATTAATCTCAGTACTCATTAGATCGGCGTCCACATTTAAAAATAAATAAACAAATGAAACTCCAAATAACATTTTGATTATATCTGTCTTTCCTAATTCATAGTTTATTATATGTTGCCAATATTATTACTAATAGAATTATACTACTTATTAATGTAATATGTAGTATATATATATTGAATATTTTTTTGAGTAATCCATGAGATTTATTTACAAAATCGACTACAGATTTTCAAAATATTAATATATATATGAGGACCAAACTCAAACCCCCCTTTCAATTCATGCTTAAATATATTTAAAGTTATTTAAATATTTATTAAACCACTTGAAACACTGATCTATTCAGCACTGTTAATTAGTAATTTTTGATCTTTCAGAATTCATGTTTTTCAACAACAACAACAACAAATAACAACTAATGGTTTCTTCATCTCTATCACATTTTGAATGTTTCCATATTATCTATTAAAAGTAACTAAGTGGATACATGGATTAGAAAAAAAATTCACAGTATAACTGAACTTTTAATTAAATTTTATGTAAGTAGAGGTTATTTACAAAATAGATTTATTGAAAAAAAAAGAATTCAAAAAGATTGATAGGTGGACAGACAGATAACCAGTCAGACAGATAGATAGACAGACAGTTAGATAGATAGATTGATAGACAGATAGAAAAATGAACAGATTAACAATAGAAACAGATCAATAGAAATGGCAAAAAAAAAGAAATGAACACACACACACAGAGAGAGGGAGGTAGAAAAAAGTTACACAATAAAGTGGAATGAAATCTGATTTGATTTTTTTAATACTTTTCTTTCTTCTGTCTTTATTTCTTGATTTTTGTTTACATTTTATTTTATCAATAATTTTTTTTCTCCCTTTTGATCTACTGTACAAAAAAATGGAGACCACTTGTGATAAAAATGTTTTGCTTTTCAAAAAACGGATCATTATTATTATGACTTTACACAATATACATCATCTCTTACTTCCTCTTTTATTAGTTTGTTTGTTTATTTGTTTTTCTCCTTGTTATTTATTGTTTGTTTTTATTAGAATAATGAAATTGGAAATGATTAATTTTATATTCTATGTAGTATAAAATTATATATATATATGTCCATATATGTACATGTATTCCTTCTCTCTCTCTCTCTCTCTCCCATATATGTACTAATGATTTAGTTAATATTCAAATTATGTTTTGTTTTTGTTTGAAAATTCAATGTGATAAACAAAAGATCATAACCACATATTGAAGAGTTTCTAATATCATCGACACAATTACAACAACAACAAAAACAACAACAATGGTATAGACATTAAAGATTGTTTTCTTATAACAGTTCAGAATTATAATGAATAAGATGAAAGATAATATTAACAGAAAGTATTCATTCATATACATATTATTCATAAATAAGAAAATGAAAGTTTAGCTGTGGATTTTGTCATGTTGATATTCATTTTCCCCACTTCTTATCATCCTTTGTTTTTTTATATTATCTCTTATTCCTCATGTACGAATTGTTCTTGTTTACATGGTAAGATGTGTATGTGTGTGTTTATGAAGTGTTAAGTATTTCAGATTGTGTCTGTCTGTCTGTCTATCTATTTGAGTCTGTAGCTGTGTACATATGTGTCTGTATGAAATGATAATATTAATATTATTTATTATATCATTAAACCAGCACTTACGTGTAAACAGATCAAATCAAATACTCACCTTTACTTTCATACATACCTTCCTAATTACCGATATGATTATTGTCTATGAATGTTATCTATTTCTCTCTTCATATTGAATAATGAGTTGTTGTTTTTTCACACTAAGGTTGTGTAGGGAAGAAAGAGGAAATAATTCTTTTTCCGTTAATTTTTACATACATTACTTACTTTCCTTTAGATATTACTCTCAAGTTATTATATACACATATATATTTAGAAATGTTTTTATAAACTGAAGATAAAAAAAATCCACATTCCAAATGATCATATTTCATAACTAAAAATAAGTGTGTTGTGAGAATTAGCCCAAATGTATACACAGACACACATTTATATATGTGTGTGTGAATAGGATATATATACAAATTGAGAAGACTGGATTGTAAAATGTATGATTAAATCAGGAAAATTAAGGGACCAGTTCCTTAGTGTTACAAGTTATATACAGTTCAAATGAATTTAGATTGTTGTTAACAGTGTATACATATGCATATACATACAACATAACAAAAGGAATCAACAAAAACAACATAAACACACTCTATTTGTAGCAATCTAAATTAAGTTTGAATATAATATACATTCGTCCTTCTCTTTCTCTTTCTCTTTATATATATAATTATGTACAATCACATATGCATAAATATATAGCTACGGATACACATGTAACTAATTCATACTGAAACTGTTATTTGATAGATTCGTTTGACAATCCTTTTCATCTTGAATCTCTTACTTCTATTGAGTGTTTTACCTAAAAATTGACAAAACGTATGAGATAAAATGAGAAATAATAGAATAAGTGAGCAACGATAAGAACGGAGTAATGGTAGTGGGTAGAAGACAGTCGAACTACTATATAAAACACCAATGTTTCCTTTTTATTGATGACTTTTTTTCTATAAAATAGTTTCTCATTCACATGCTCTTTCTCTTTCTGCCTCGTATTTCTCACATACATGTCTTTAAGTTAATTTGAGATTTTGCTCTTCAATAGTTTTTTTAATACCCCCCTATCTTGAACATATTGTAAATTACTGGAGTTATCTTTATTTATTTATTTCTCATTAAGTCCATTAATTTACTTGAGTGATTCACATATATGTATTGGAATCATACCAGATATCTAAGCAAAGATAGTAATCATTAATATCTATACGACGAATATATATCTACCATTTATTATGATGATAATTCTTATCAAGAACACCAATACTACTGACAGTAATAATAGTCAATATAATTCTGTGTAGTGTATTTTCTATAACAGAAAATGAATTTCCTTTACCTAAGGGTCCATCATTTAAAGAATTCGTTTCTTTTTTTCTACTGAATTACTAATATTTGTCGTTATCATCGTTATTATTGTTATATAACATTCCTTTTATACTGTCAATAGCATTGTGTTGTTATGTGAACCATCTCAGTCTTTTTTTAAATAGCAGGTTCATTTTCATGTTAGTGATATATACATACAGACACCCACACATATACATGTATACATGTATTTACACATATATGTACATGTTTTGACTTGATTCAACCATTTAGTTCTTTTATTTAGCAAAGTATATTATCTAGGTTCACAATTCTAACACACGTCCATATATATGCGTACAAAGTCAATTTCAACCATAGTGAATCAGTTTAAAAATATCATTGTTCTTTCACCCTTCTTTTCCTACCTCTTTCTTTCTATCTTAGCACACATACTTTTATTCAGTTCAAATGTCAAATTGTTATTTAGTTTGAGAATGATCTCCAACCACTGACCATTCATTCCTGTTAGTTCTATTTTGTTGCTGTTTTTCTTTTGTTATAATAACAAAAAACTACGACAACAAACGACAACAACAACTAACCAAAGTGAAAACGACGTCGATAACAGCAATGGTAACAGTGATTAAAACGACCACAATTAATAACGAAGAAAACGTAGAATAAGATTCGGAAGAAGAAGAGACGATAAACAAGAGAATTTATGTTGTCAGCATTTTATTTTTTTCCCGTGTATGATATTGTACAAATATTCTCTATCCATTTTTTCTTCTTTTGTTCTTTCATGTTTCGTTTGTTTATTTTATTGCTCAAGATAATAAATAATATTATGATAGTAATAATAATATTAATAATAATAATAATATTAATAATAATAATATGATTATTACTATTAATGCTACTTATAATCTAGTAGTGGCAACTATGTCATCTACTTGTTTGATCTGTTTGCTGATTATTTTAAATAGGGTGGTGTATATAATTCTGACCAGAAGTATTCAAATTATATTTGAAGAGTCTCTGGTAATCTAATGCATCTGGTTGTGTATGTATGTATGTATATATGTATGCATGCATGTATGTTTGTAAGTATGTATGTATGTATGTATGTATGCGTGTGTGCTAGTGTAATTTTGTGCTTGGATTCATTAACAGAATAAGATTAAATTATAACCGGATATTGTAAGCAAAGATGGATAGTGGCTAGCAGTGGAATCTAGGGCACGCGTTTCGTCCTGTTTGGGGCTCGTCAGCTGGATGTATCTGCATCTCAGAGTTGATGTTCACTCTGAGACTTGAACTCAGTACCGTTCGCTTCAAACGCCATCGCGTTATCCACTTAGCTACTGAGTCCTGATATCCACTTGCTTGTGCAATGGGGTGAAGATTATAACCGGAGATAATTAAAATATGTTACTGATACTGTTTTGACAACATTTTAATTTGTATTAATAAGCATTTAACCCTGACAGTATTAGATTGGTATTTCATCATAATTTTGGACTCTTTAACAATATGTAATATTGACTACACATATGCCATACACATTTTAAAAATCAGTAGTATTTTTATACATTGGTTTAAATGTTTTGGTGTCCATCATAGCATCTAAAGGTTAGTATTGAATACTATTGAATGGTTCAGAATTAAGTGGAAACAGATTTCTATGACTTGTTAGTTTTCAAATGTCTTTCAATTGACATCAATTGGTAATAGGAAAATCATTTTAAATATAAACAGAAATGTTTAGAAAATTTATACCTACGTGAAAAATTAAACATTGGTTTTACATAATTAGGTAGTCCATAAAAATTA